CCAGTTTTGTTTTCATATTGAACATGATTTCGGTATCTTTTTTTCAATGCCTTCCATTTATCCATACATTTGTCATGCGTTGATGAGATACCACATAATTTATTCAATTCAGAGGAAATAATAACCCATGCTGGTTTTTTTTTTCTACCACTCAGGCTATCTAAATTTTTTTTAACAAGATCAATCAAGCAACTTATTTGACCTTCTGACCATTCTAATCTTTCTTCATTGAAAGATGAAACAGAGTAAGATGTAGAAGGTGCAGGAGAATTGAGTGTAGACAAGGTGGTAGCAGAAGTTGAAGCAGCAGCAGGCAGAGTTGAATCCAAGCAAATGGTTGTGGTAGAGGTTGTAGATGGATGACATGCCGAAGTACTAGCATGGGGATGAGTATATGATTCAGAACTGGCTGATGATTGAAAATAATTCCAGGTAGAAGCAGGTTTACAAAAATTAAGAGTAGACAAAGTGGTAGCAGAAATTGAAGCTGCAGAAGGTAGTGTAGAAGTAGCACTGGTAGGGTGAACTGAAGATGAGCAAGTGAATGATGATGGTTTTGCTAATGGTTTTGGTGAGGCAGGAGCACTAGTATAAAAAGAAGCTTTAGGTACAGATGCATGTACAGGTGTAGAAGTAGCACTGGTAGGGTGAATTGAAGTTGAGCTAGTGAATGATGATGGTTTTGCTGAGGCAGGAGCGCTAGTATAAAAAGAAGCTTTAGGTACAGATGCATGTACAGGTGTAGAAGTAGCACTGGTAGGGTGAATTGAAGCTGAGCTAGTGAATGATGGTTTTACTGAGACATTATAACTAGTATCATGAACTGAAGCTAAAGAAGTTGCACTGGTAGGATGAATAGAAGCTGAGGCAGAACTACCATTAGTCAGATGAATAGAAGCTGTGCTAGGTTCCAAAGCTGCCAAACCAATATAAATTGGATCATTTACTTTTCCATCTGGCAGATTACTAATCAATTCATTTAACAACTCTGGATCTGATGATGGAAAAGTACAAACAAATAAAGTTAGCAGATATAATAAAATGCCTGATATTATTTGAGAAATAATAGCAGACCCCTACAGGAAAAAATCAAAGAATGTGGGGAGTAGAATTTGCTATAAGATGAAGAGAAAACATGCTGTAAAACCAATAACAGTCTATCCATGCTCAACTGAAACATAAATACATCTTGCTTGTTTAATTGCATTTGTGCCAAACTTTGAACATACCGGTAATTAATGATGTTAGATGGACACACATACAGACAGACAGACATAAATATGAAACCCAATTCCAACAATGACTCGTAGTTTTTGGTAATTATGCAAACCGTCTAAAAATTAATTGTTCAAAGACCAACTTTATGATTATTAGTGGGTGACATGTGTCCCATTATAGTAAACGGTTCTATAACGATAAAAACATATTTTGAAAGAGACTGGATCAGCTAACTTTATTGGGATTGAAATTGACAAACATTTAACATTGGAAAATCATATTACGAAAATTAATAAGCAGATCAGGAATAAGTCTCTTTCAAAATTAAGGCATCATATTCCAAAGCACATTCTTTTGTTATTATATTATTCATTAATCCAACCTCATTAAGTATGGACTGGAAGTTTGGGCAAGCACATATCCATCACATCTAAAAAGTATTCTAACTACCCAAACATTTATTGCAAGAATAATAACATTTTCTGAATTTACTGCCCATTCTGCCCATATTTTCAACCAGCTTAAAATCTTTGACATTTATAAGCTCACAACTTTCTCCTTTTTATGTTTTTGCACGATATTGTTAATGGAAACACACCACACAACATGTCAGCCTACATCCTGCATTATATTCAACACAATCATAATACTAGACAACAAAACAGAAATGAAATCTCAATCCCAAATATGAACACAACAATTTGTACATTCGCAATATCTTATTTAGGTCCAAAATTATGAAAGAGTCTACCTGTTGCATTGAGAAAGAATGAAAAAAAATCAATTTTCAAAATTAAAGTGATTTTGTGTTTTACATATTATCAGTATTATTAAAATTTGATATGTCGTGTTTTTTTTTTTTATTTGTTTTACTATTTTAGTGTCTACTGTCATTATAATATTTAATTTTATAAAAACCTGTACTCATGAGAATTTTCATAACAACAGTGTTTGTAAATACTCGCATGTGTAATAATTATGGGTAAAGAAATAAATTATTAGTTAAACAATAATACAACATGTTTTTTGTAGCCTATTTCACCTCTACAAAATGCAATTGTTTCTCTGGAGATTTGTGAATATGCATGCAAAAACAAAATGTTAGATGAAATAACTTTTTTGGTGTTTTGGATTTATAATTTATTTTCACTGATTTCTGTGTTAAAGTAAAACATAGGAAAAAAGGTATATTCGTTGGATTTTATTTTCAGTAAATCATTCATGGTGAACAGTTACCACAACTTTGGGGTAAAATTTCTTGGTAATGAAAAAAGATATCAAAAATTCAAATAGTAACTTTGTGCCCACACTCAAGCTGAGTAGAATGAGCTATATCAGAGGTGTTTTATCCTAAATTTGTAGGAGGAATTACATTTGGTGTGCAGCTATCCAAAAATCAGTTGTTTGGCAGTTACTATGGAAATGGTTGGCCAAAATATTATTTAAAACTTTATCTACTAAGTATGGTGAAGGTGTGACCTGTCTGCCAGGTTTGGGTCAAGATAATTAAACTTAAAAATGGACTGCATTTCCCTCAACCTGTTTAAGTGGGATAACTAAATAGGATAAGCAACTATAACTACACAACTGCAAAATACAACATTTCTCTAAAGGATGTAGTAGATTTTTAGGAACTAAAATTTACACTAATTTTTATATAGAATGGATATAAATCAAATCAGACATTCACAATATATTTTATGAAAGCATGCAATTCATACTGAAAAAAATTTCAAATTAGATGCAACGTTCATGTGATCATGTGACTGCTTTAACTTAAGTAAATAAATCTTCCATTGAAAATGACGAGTGAATAAATTAAAAAGGATATCAACATTTTTTTTCCTGAAAAATGTAGAATAAAAACAAGGGAAACATAACAGTCAAAGCGATTTTGCACAATTTTGTTTCAGTCATCACAACAATGCAAGTTGTTAATTTTAACCACAGTTGTGATCTATTTATGATCGAGCACTGAAATTTTCATTGATAATAAGATATCTATGAATTTCATAAAGTGTAACAAGTTGATTTTGATTAACATGCTCCAAAAAAACACATCCTTAAACTGTCATTCAAAATGTTTCTGACAAAAATTGTAGAATATTATTAATTTGATTTTACCTCCATGAAGTTCAAACCATGATCAAAAATTAAAAATATTTCCAAATGTGAAAAAATAGTAGTTGTTTATATTAATGAACAATTTGTGAAAAAAATGGGGATATTTCAATCATAACAAATAGAATATAAACTATTATCTACAGCTTACAATAAAAATGACAATTTTAGTAAAATAACAAATTTACGCTAGTTTCAGTAAGAGCTGTGATAACAAAAATGTTTAACAAAACGAAAATCGATTGAATATTTACCACAATATAATAAAATTAAGACATTCAAAGATTGTTTACATTGCCATGTAGATATATATATATTTTTTATTTCATTTTCGGGAGCGGGGGTAACGTAAAATTTTCATTCACAAAAACCCCATCATTCTACTCGGCAGCCGACAAGTGGGAAGAGCCAAAACAAGTTTCAAAAATACAAAATATATTTCTTTTTGGAGATATCGAGTAAATATAGTTCAACTTACTTTTTTTAACTGTATCCATCTCATGAGACAAAATTTTAAATGGTATTTCCCTCTCTCCATCCACCAGCACAAACGGTAACCAGTTTTCCTCTGCCATTTTGGTTCATGAACTGTGACCTACAGTTCCACAACCCCGCTTTTGGAGCAGGGGCGATAAAAAGTACCTCGAGGCGCCCCGACGGTGACGTCAAGAAATAATCGAACGTTAGTCGAGGTGCCTCGAGGCACCCCGGGGCGCCTCGAGGCCGATAATCGAAAACGCTCGTGGTAATCACCGGAAATGACGTAAACAGTTTATTCATTCCATTATGTTCTATAGTTCTAAGTCTGAAAAAACTTGTTCTGCTACTCGTCTAAAGGAGTATTGGAGGCACATTGCAATAGGTTACTGTAAATAACGTATAACTGGTGGATTTAAGCTTATGTACACATGTGTAACAGCCTGGTGGTAGCCAGCATGATCTTCAATAACAATAACAATGTTACATAAAATAAAACTACCCACCAACACGCCAGCGTGTCACCACGGGTGTTTGTAGGAATTTTAGCTGTAAGGCCATAACAAATATTAAAAACGTGTGTCACAGGCTTTTTAAAGGGTTTTTGTTCATAATTTTAGAAAAAAATAAATTCTGTTTTAAAAAGTAACATGACTAGAAACTTTTTTGTTTGTTTATTTGTTGTTCCTCTTTTAGGCAATTGATTCCCTTTTGAAAACTGATCTGACACATGAGTTGGGCTTGTAGTAATTTCCACAATTTCATTGTGTTACATATGTTGCAGAACCTACAATTGCATGAAATTAATAAACCGTGTCTCACTCAACAGAACCCAGATTTGGTGTCACTGGTGTTTGCTCTACAATATGACGTACTGTCTGAGCCGCGGTACTAGCGTACGACGCTTTGCGTTCGATTTCCCGACGCGCACGCCGATGATGTTACAGCCTCGGTTTTCAGGTAAGATGATTTACGATATATTAAACAATGGTCGAGAACCATAGTAATTCATAAATATTACACACATTTGTCTAAAACGTTACCATCCCAGACGGTTGATATCTCTGGGATGCCTTGGCAGTCTGTACGCGGTCGTTCGAATCCGGAGAGAGCGCTTGCTGACCTCGCCTTGCGCCCTCTTTCGATTTCACTCTCGTGAGCGATACATACGTTCCATGATTCCAGTAATTCCATGCATTGGTGCACCATAACGGCGTCAGTGTGTGCACCGCAAACCATTCTTGGGAAATATGTACACCCACATTTATTTACTAGTGTTTCTCTGTATTGAGGACAAAATTATTGGAACTATAGACGTGACCCAGGGATGGCACTGTTATCCCCGTAGTAATCCAGGTAGGTGCTATTCAAACTGAATTATAAACGGTATTCCTTGGTATATCCGCCGATTTCATCCACTATGTTAGTTTTCGTACACTTGCCGAAACAATCGCACGTTTGCTAACACTATCGCGCGAATTTATCATATGAGAACAACTCTAAAGCAACTGGTCTATGCTTTCGTCGAGCCCCCTTTTTTTGGTTTGCTTAAGTCCTGAAATAGTGGACCGATCATAGTCATCAGGATTGATTATCGAGAAGAAATCGGCTAACGGAAAAGAAATACCTCAAATTCGTGATTTGTTTCAGCTAACGTGTTATATATATATATATATAACAAGTAAATCATGCTAATTGTTGCATTCACATTGACAACTCGTTGTACTCCCCGCTATGCGACTGTTCAGACCCATGGTTCCAACGACAAGCGTATTATATTCGACAGTGGAAAGTCACGTCGGAATTGGTCACGTCGGCACGCTGAGTTGCAACTCAGAAAACATATTATGTAGCGAATGAACGTTGACTATATATTTCTATGAGATGTTGTCATGACCTAGACGCCTGGACATTGAACGCTGGACATCTCAGGGGGCAGTATGAGTGTAAGAATATTTTGGAGAAAATTTCCCAAAACGGATTAGTTGCTAGCAATTATGTATTGCATGTAACAAGTTTATATTGCATCCAAACACAGAACGATAACATGAAAAGATGTCATACTTGTATATACGCGAAAATGAGGATTTGATCTGCATACTTATAGAAAATTATTTGAAAAATCGAGAAATTAGATGAATGGATAGCATTTTTATTTGCTTCTCTTAAAAAGCGTACGACTAGATGGCGTTTCTGGGTTTCAGTTATATTCCTTGATTTCACGGTTATGTTTGGAAGCACCGGGTAGCGGGCGCGTCAAAGTAAAAATCGTCAAATTCATTTTAGTTTCCAGGGAAACACAACATGACGGCCTAGAGTCATGAACTCTCTAGATGACGCCGTGTAAGAATATTTACAGAAGTTTTAATAATTATAATTACAATGTTTGTCTAGAGGTTTGTAATCGGCATAATTGTCAATATTATTTTATTTGAAACTCGGAATATTTGTCTTTCGATTAGGAATCACATGAACAACTGAAATGTATGTCACCCTACAATTTATGATGTCATACTGTTACCACCAATGTATTGGACAAAAATGCGTGAAAACGGTGACATTTTTTATTTATTTAAATCGTTTCTCAATAAATGTCCGATGACGTCACAGCTTGTATTCCCCTTTGACATGAACTCATATTTTAAAAAAACAATGATATCTGATAAACAATGTCACTATTCATACGGTGTATTGCATGTATTATATGAATATTTCTACAGTCCCACTTATATTCTGTGTTTCAAGCCATGGCACAAGTCCTTGCCCAATAAAATAAACAAAGTAATTACACAATCTTACCGTAAAGGGCACACAATGATTCACATTTTGTTGTTTTTTACTGCACTCGAATATTGTGTATTCGATGTCATTTGTTTACACTTCATATTCAGTTTGACCCTCGATGTAACTTGGTACATCTTATATTCGGTTTGACCCTCGATGTAACTTGGTACATTTCATATTCAGTTTGACCCTCGATGTAACTTGGTACATTTCATATTCAGTTTGACCCTCGATGTAACTTGGTACATTTCATATTCAGTTTGACCCTCGATGTAACTTGGTACATTTCATATTCAGTTTGACCCTCGATGTAACTTGGTACATCTTATATTCGGTTTGACCCTCGATGTAACTTGGTACATTTCACATATTGGGTTTGCCCCTCAATTCGTTCTTTCTATTTCATCCCAGACGACTCGTCCCAAGATATAGCACCATGCATTCGGATTATTAGGCCTATTGGAGGTCATGACGTCATAGACCAGGACGCCAAGTCATACTTGTTTGAAGTAGACATTGATCCTGGAGGCCAGGAGCATCGTGGTGTGGACATTGATTGGTATCACGTGACCGGAGCAGGCGACAATGAAGAGATCACGTCAATTAATGATTGCCGGTAAGTTTGTACTCTACAGTTTCACATTCACGATGTATGCATGATATGAAGTACAATCCCCGCTAGTTCAAATATAGACTCGTACAAGAATAGCCACAATGGCAATTTGGAGAAACTCTATTTTATATCTCAAAAATGTTTTAGTTTCGGGATTTATTTTCTCATATGTATCGTATATTACTCCGTAATTCTCTGTGTAAAACTAATACAAATCTAAATGAGTTCATAATACGTTCAAATATACTTGAGTTACTCTTAGAAGTAGAAGCGGAAGCGTTTTCACGTGAGAAACACTTACTGTGTTTTCATTGGTTTTCAATCATGCTGCATTAGTATAACGCGACACATGCATTTGATATGGACAATTGAGGCCGCAGCAGAATAGACTATTTTAAATGTGTTTGGCTTATTGACAGAAAACGGTACTTTGGGGTGGTTGTTGAGACTTCCCTGAACAGTGTAACAAGATTTGCCCTGCGTGTGTAACATATATAAATTTGGTTGTTCAGGATTACTTCAAAGTTGAGTTTGTGTTGTTTTCTCGAATTTTCACCGGCTCGACCGGCGTTCCACAGCAGCGCACACATAGCCCATAGAAATACATGTACAGTGGTGCGCGTCTTAGCAACCTGGAACGTCTTGTGACGTAGCTCCGCCCCCGAGGATAAAAATTCATGGTAAAGTGGTGCGCGGCTTAGCAACGTGGAACGTCTTGTGACGTAGCTCCGCCCCCGAGGATAAAAATTCATGGTAAAGTGGTGCGCGGCTTAGCAACGTGGAACGTCTTGTGACGTAGCTCCGCCCCGAGGATAGCGCATTTGTTCGGAGAGGCATACCCCCTCTACGGAAGAACATTACACAACTGATATAATTTTTAAAATATTTTTTTCGAGAATTAGAAAAGCAAGGTTGTGAAAATGTGAGTAAGAGTGAAAGTGCATGATTTCATGGTAACTACGGTCACTTTTTAATGTAATTACTGAATTAGTTTTGAAAACTTGTCATTTAATTTGTAGCAGCTAAAAATTCATAGATCACTTTCCTGGAAGTAGTGAGACTGAGGTGCAAGCACGATGGCCGCCTTTTTCATGGTGCAAATACAAACATTTCTGTCTGTTGATATTTGGTAAAAGGCAATCTTATTTTTGTCACGCGGATTGGTACATCCATAAGCACAATATCTTGCGTGCCAGTTAAACTTGCATACAGTCTCTTGTTTATTATTTTGTTGGTGTTTTTTTATAAAACTAAATATTACGCACTGAACCCAGACCGGTGACAATCATCACTGGTGTCGCAAGAGGGCGTCTACATGGGTCACAAGTCCTTTATTTCGCGGTAACCCGGCTTTCGTCATTATACACTCCAATCTTTTATTTTATTAAATTACACACCCAATACTAATGTACGCACACATTTACAATATATGGCAAATTCAAAGTGAGAGACTCATTTTGTTTTTACTTTCCGTAACACAAACGGTGTGACAGTAGGACTTTCGTGCTTTCGTATATTTCTTCGTCTGGCAATGACATGACGGTCAGTTTGATGAACCGAGTAACACCTTAGTAACCGTTATTCCGCGACGAAATTATTTTCTTTTGTAAATTATATTTATATTTCACCCTTGACAGTACATTTATGGAACAATCATTATCAACTATAGATAAAATATTTTAAAACTTGTTTCAATTAGGA